TTTTACGCCCCTATCAACACTACAAGGTTATTCAAAAGGCAGAACTTCCGAATTTAACGCACATCTCCGATAGGTCTGAGTCACATGGGTGGAGAGAATCAAAAGATAAATTAAACTAGAAAATTATAAAAAGAAATAATAAAAGTAAAGAGACTGAATAATACCACCACCACCCTCCAAAAAAAAGATAATAAAGAGATAGGAAAAGAAAAGAGATAACTAACAAAAACAAGAAAAAAACAAAACAAAACAACAACAACAACAACAACAGCAGCAGCAGCAGCAGCAACAACAACTATCCCATCATTACAAATCACGGTATGGGGTCCGTGGCACTCAGCCAGTAGAATGAAATGTGAGGAAGCGTGGTGGAATCAGGCTCTCGTCAATTTTTGGGCAATATTGAGTTATTGGTATCATCTTAAAGCGTGTTCATTTGTCTTGCTGTCAATGAAAAAATTACCCATCCATTTTCAATAGAAGTGGGGATATTTTGGATTGAAGGACGTGGGGGTCACCTGATTTAAGAGGTAAAATTAGCGAGAAAATGGCCGCCAAACCTTGGTAAATTCCAAAGCTGGAGAGTCCATGGAAACTGTAAATTTAAATTTTTGTGCCTTTAATCAACGTTTTCGTTGAAATCCTCAAAGGAATGTGTTTATAAATGGACATAAAAGGTGTTGAGCCAAAAAAACAAAAATTTGATACAAATTGCTAAGCAGGGAGAAAACTGCTGTTTTCTTCGATTTCATTATTTTGACGAGAGCCTGATTCCACCACGCTGCCTCACAAATACTAGTTTTGTTTAGATACATGACGTTCATGGTAGGAGTGCTCATTTGGTCGCTTTTAAGGTCAAGCGGGCTAACCCAGTTTTCGGGAGTTTCCAGAAATCTTGACCTACACCAAAAGTGGGCATTGCCCTACCTATATGAGAAGTTTGGTTTCATTGGTGTGTATATTTGTTTGGTTATTGAAAAAACTCTCCTTGTCTTTTAAAGAAACTGAACAAGGGGCAAAAACGTTACCTTCGATTTTCTCAAAAAACAGCATTTTTCGGGATAGCCCCCTTGTGCTTAAAAGCGACCAAATTGTACAACGCTAGGTCTGTGAATAACTAAAGAGGTTATGGTGAGCAACAAATCTACATCTTCGTTGTTTGTTGGTGTTTGTAATTTTCATTCTCTTTCCCTAGTTCGTGTTTTTTTTAAAGAGTGGACGCAGTGTGTCTCGTCATCTATATATATATA